TATTTTGTCCCATTCTGCTGTTAACTTTGTCTATGATGTCCTTTATTAAATGAAACTTCTAATTTTGAAGTCATCTTTTTTTGTAGTTTGTATTTTGGGGATCATATTTAAGAAATATTTGGTGATGTGAGGTGGTAAGGAAATTATACATTTCTTTATATTAAACTTTTAGTTACAATATTCCTATTTAGGTCTTTAATTCATTTGGACCTGTAGTACATCGTGTGTGACAGGAATCTGGGGGTTTTGTCAATACAGTGAAACCATTTTCTTGATACAATTTACTAAACATAATTTTCGGATTTCTGATGTTACCACTAACCTATAATAAACTTTAAGTCTGCTTCCAAGGTATCTACTCCTTTTGATTGGTTTATTTAATTGATATTGCACTTTACAATTCTATTTTATTTCAATAATTTACACTAGGGCTAGTTTTTTTTAATAGTTTCAATTTATAGATGATTATATTCCCTAAAATTTCAGAATTAATCAGGTTTCCTCTCCCACCTAGAGAATTTAATTAGAAATACAGAAAAATTTTAAATTATTTTGAGAGAGAATTAACAACTTTATCATATTAAGCCTTACTACATTTCAAAGTGCTACATCTTTTCATTCATTCAGGCCTTTTAAAAATATCCTTAAAAGAGTTTTCAAAATACCTCCATCAAGGACAGAGTTTCTTCTATTGTATTTTCTATAATTTAAATGCTTTTGATTTTGTGAGTTTGTTTTGTATTCATCTCCTTGCTGACTACCTTAATGCTAATAATTTGCTAACTCTGGTTTCTTTGCAGACAATCACGACACCTACAAAAAATAAAGAAAAGAAGGAGAAAAAGTCTGTTTCTCCCCCTATTCTTCTCCCACCTTGGATTTCTTTTCATTTATTTTATTGTTCAGGACTTCTAACATTATGTTGAACATTAATTCAGTTAAGGGTGGCTGACATCCTTGTCTCCTTGACTTTTAAATTGTTTCAGGTTTCCTATTACTGAATTTTAATGCTAAATAAATGTTGAAATACATCAAATGCTTTTATTGCAACTGCCATCCCAATTAGATAAGTTTGAGGAGTGTAAAAAATAATGAGATTTGTCCTTAATCCATTAATATATAAATTATACTACAAGATTTTTCACTTTAGAGCCATTTTTTACAACCCTGAATTCACCCATAATCAACCATGACAAATACACACACCTGTACATCTTTATCTACTCTACCTATATACCTTTATATGTATATACATATATGCACACACAGAGAGAGAGAGAAAGAATTTTTTTTCAGAATAAACAATTTATTAGTTAGTCATCAATAAATGCCCCGGGTTTGGCACCAAGCACTTTCTTTTTTTTTTTTTTTTTTTTTTTAATTTTACTTTAGAATCTAGGGTACATGTGCAGCTCATGCAGGGTTGCTGCACAGGTACATACTATATATGGCATTTCTCCCCATGTTTTCCCTCCCCACCCTTCCCCCCCCCACTGTCCCTCCCCTAGTCCCCCTCAACTGCCCCCAGTGGGTGATGCTCCTCTCCCTGAGTCCATGTGTTCTCATTGTTCAACACCCACCTATGAGTGAGAACATGCAGTTTGGTTTTCTGTTCTTGTGTCAGTTTGCTGAGAATGATAGTTTCCAGATTCATCCAAGTCCCTACAAAGGACATGAACTCATCGTTGTTTATGGCTGTGTAGTGTTCCATGGTGTATATGTGCCACATTTTCTTTGTCCAGTCTATCATTGATGAGCATTTGGGTTGGTTCTAGGTCTTTGCTATTGTGAACAGGGCTGCTATGAACATACATATACATGTGTCTTCATAGTTTAAAGATTTATAGTTCTTTGGGCATATACCCAGTAATGGGATTGCTGGGTCAAATGGAATTTCTATTTCTAGATCCTTGAGAAATCACCACACTGTCTTCCACAATGGTTGCACTAATTTACACTCCCACCAACTGTGTAAAAGTGTTCCTATTTCTCCACATTCTCTCCAGCATCTGCTGTCTCCAGAATTTTTAATGATCACCATTCTAACTGGCATGAGATGATATCTCAGTGTGGTTTTGATTTGCATTTCTCTAATGACCAGTGACGATGAGCATTTTTTCATGTTTGTTGGCCTAACATATGTCTTCTTTTGAAAAGTATCTGTTCATATCCTTCGCCCACTTTTGAATGGAGTTTTTTTTCTTGTATGTCTGTTTTACTTCCTTGCAGATTCTGGATATCAGCCCTTTGTCAGATGGGTAGACTGCAAAGATTTCTTCCCATTCTGTGGGTTGCTGGTTTGCTCTCATGATGGTTTCTTTTGCTGTACAGAAGCTCTGAATTTTAATTAGATCCCATTTGTCTATCTTGGCTTTTGCTGCCATTGCTTTTGGTGTTTTAGTCATGAAGTCCTCGCCTATGCTTATGTCTTGGATAGTTTTGCTTATGTTTTCTTCTAGTGTTTTTATGGTGTTAGGTTTTATGTTTAAATCTTTAATCCAACTGGAGTTAATTTTAGTGTAAGGTAACAGGAAGTGGTCCAGTTTCTGCTTTCTGCACATTGCTGGCCAGTTTTCCCAACACCATTTATTAAACATGGAGTCCTTTCCCCATTGTTTATTTTTGTCAGGTTTGTCAAAGATCAGATGGTTGTAGATGTGTGGTGTTGCTTCTGAGGCCTCTGTTCTGTTCCATTGGTCTATGTCTCTGTTTTGGTACCAGTACCAAGCTGTTTTGTTTACTGTAGCCTTGTAGTATAGTTTGAAGTCAGGTAGCGTGATGCCTCCAGCTTTGTTCTTTTTGCTTAGGATTGTCTTGGCTATATGGGCTCTCTTTTGGTTCCATATGAAGTTTAAGGTGATTTTTTCCAGTTCTGTGAAGAAGGTAATTGGTAGCTTGATGGGGATAGCACTGATCTATAAATTACCTTGGACAGTATGGTCATTTTTACAATATTGATTCTTCCTAACTGTGAGCATGGAATGTTTTTCCATCTGTTCGTGTCCGAGAGAGACAGAATTTAAAAGTCAGGGCGCGGTGGCTCAAGCCTGTAATCCCAGCACTTTGGGAGGCCGAGGCGGGTGGATCACGAGGTCAAGAGATCGAGACCATCCTGGTCAACATGGTGAAACCCCGTCTCT